GCTGAATCATCTTTACATATAATGGTAAAATACAAAAAAGCCCTATATATTAACATATTAAATAAACATCCTTTCGTAGGGCAAATAGTATCAATTATATAAACTTTGGAAAATTATATTGAAAATTGATAAAATTACATCTCAAATTAGCATGGACCAGCTTTTTAGGTTGACTGTAACCAAAATAAAAAGTTCATAAAAATATTCAGAATGCAAACGACTTGAAATATACTTTTCTTTGTACAATGTAATAATTTTTTAGGGTAAAAAATATAATTCACTGAGAAAATCTTGTAGGTTTTTAATAAATGATTTGCCTAGAATGACATTGGGTGAAAAATCAACTCACAAAAGGGTCAAGTTTCAAAATGAATTTTCTTAACATCAGAAACAGTTTAATTTTGTACCTTTTCATAGTAAGAACAGCTAATATATCACGTAATCCGTTTTCTTTTTTATCTAAATCCTGGAGTACAACCTGTTTATGCAAAAAATAATACAAAGACGATTCAGTACTTTGACATATTAATGAATTGATGCATCAGTTATTGCAAAGGACCACATCTTTCTTATTACTGCAATAAAACTTTTAAAATACTCCAGTTTTTGATTCTGCTACCATTTAAATAGAATTCAGAGAATAATAAGAGTGAAGCTTTGTTAACTGGAAATGTCTCTTCCAGAAGGAGGCATTTAAGATAACTAGTGTATCTGTCCCTCTAAATGTCATGTCCTAGGTTAAAATGATTGTTTCTAAGTACTGTTTGTCTCAAAAATAACGAGTACTCTCTTTTTGGTAATTAAACCATTACTAGTAACATGTAAATTATATTTTGGCAAGTCTTCCATATATACTTAAAAAAAATCAAATCCTTTAAATACATTTGGAAAACCACCTTTTAAAGGAGGTTTGGCAAATTCTTTTGTGCAACTTAAGATTATATTTGAAGTAATGCTAATGAATTTGGTATAAAATTCCCCAGTTTCCTAAAGAATGGTATACCAATAAACCAAAATTAGAGTATACCAGTGACTTTTGAGACTTTGCCAAGATCGAATTTAATGATCTTAGGTAAGTCATGAAATACATTGTTTTACTCATCTGTAAAATGGGGTTAAGACAGATGGGAACTCTGAAAGATTCTCTTCCAAATTCAGTGTTATGTGACTAACTCTTCTTCTGGAATCTTTACGTTAGGATATGGTGGCAGCACTAGGATATGAAGAGAAAAGGTAATGCATGTGAAGAGAGAGCAGTTGAAGGAATACTAAGACTGCCATCTGAGTTTAGAAACCTGGCACATGGGGAAATTCTTGTATTTATACAGTGGAATTACCTAGAGGAGCTTTTAAAACTTTATCAATGGATTCCAAGTTGGCAACTGTATTTCTTGGACATATTTTGAAGTAAATAACACAGCTCCACCTCACTCTTTGTAAAGGATGCAGAGGATCATATAGTGTGAAATCTGTGTTGTGATATCTTGATAAAGTAAACCTATCTCGTATCAGAAGCAGCTTGGTAGAATGGAAAGAGCATGGGCTCAGGAGTAAAACCAACCTGAGCATAATAATGTCATTTAGTAAACAAAAAACGTTATTTTTCCCTTCTTACCTAATTACCAAAGGGGACCAATAGCACAACAGAGAAGCGGTATAAATACAAAGTGTATTTTGTTTATATTTTCCCAGAACTCTTTCAGATTAAAATTGCCTATTTCTTCCCTCTTTCAAAAATGAGTAAGTAGAAGCAATCCATTCATACAAACGTGTTAGGTGTCCTATCTACATTTTGTATTAATTGAGATATTAAACTGAATCTAATCCAGAAGGAAAAGCCAAACCATTTGATGTGACTAAGTCATAGTCTCATTCTGTGTCTTCACCTGTGCAAACTTGGTTTCCTCTTTGGCAGAGTTTTTCCCCTCGGACTCATAGAGTTCAAGGCAAACTGAAGAAATACTTCCAGGGGCTTGTAACTTGTGCTGCCTTCGAGCTGGCAAAGGGGTCCCCGACGGAAACAGTACTGTGAATCTGTCGGCTCCCGACTCGTCCACTCCCTAGTAAGCAGGAAAAGAAGATGGATATCCTCTGATATTTATCTTTATAATTTAAAAAATTATTCCTATTATAAGTAAAATATATATTCCTTGTTGATAATCTGGAAACTAGGCAAAGAGAAATGATCCTTAATCCCACCCCACTTCATAGCTAACTTTTATTTTCCTAAGAAATTAACGTATTAGATAAATATGAAAAGAATGTAAGAAATTCATTAAAAGATGATAAACCTAAATTTAAAATCTTTACCAGTATACTAAGTTTTATTATACAGTCATGGTATGTATGAAAACTTATCGCAATTACTTTGTACTTTTTTATGGAAAAGTATAGAAAAGCTAAACAAACCTTAACTAAAATATCTTTGGCTGAACACTCTATCATAAGAGAGTCTTCCACTAACAGGTTTTCTTTCCCAATAAGAATTCCTGCTTCCATAGCTGCACCAATAGGAATAACCTCATCGGGAGGGATGGAATTGAGAAGCTCGACAGCTGGGAAAAGATCTTTAATCAGTTGCTGTAGCCTTGGGATTCGAGAAGACCCTCCACAAAGGACAACCTAGAAAGTGAAAATAATCTTCAGTCATTTACTTTTCACAAAATGGTTATTTCTCAAAATAAAGCATAATAAGCTGAATCATCTTTACATATAATGGTAAAATACAAAAAAGCCCTATATATTAACATATTATGTTATAACTTAACATATAAATATATACACATATTTAACATATTATATATAACATATTCTTTACTCACAGCAAAATTTAAAATAAGGAAATCTCACCACATATTAGTAGAGCTATGTATGTGGTTCACTGTGCATATGAGGCTTAATCACAAAGAGTCATTTGAATAGAAAACATCAATATTTTGTACTGTTCCAACTTTTTTTTCCCAACCTTTGAAAGAAATGTTTAAGTAAATCTTATGGCATTTTTGTGACAAAACAAATATTGCCAATCTCTTTATGAGAAAACTATACCATAGATTTTTTGTCTTCACTACGAAGAGTAAGTTTCTTGAGGAAAAAGAGGTATTTTGTAAAACTGTATTTTAAGCTGTTGGTACCATCTTATTTAAACCTTTTCTCTCTGAAGAACTTCACATAAAATTGCTCCCTTAAATTATAAATGCCTTAAGTTCCTCGTTGATTCATCTGTTTAGCACTATGTGACTCCATGGACATTCAGAATATTGAATAAACACATTCATAGCCCAAGAAAGCAAAACATCAATAACCACTTCTTATTTCACAGTCTCTTAATGGATGTTCTCCAGCTCACTGTGGCAGAGAAGAGGACTAACTGATGAAAATGCAGCCTCTTTAACATTTGGTGTGCCATGCGGAGGACACCCTATTAATCTCCAGGTGAGGGCATGAGGATACCAGCCTTGGAAAAGATCCTCAAAAGATCCGCTTTGGTGGTAAGTAAAAAGAGAAGTCTTCTCTAAAATTTTATGATTCCAGGTAAATATCATGAGAACAAAAATGCAGAATATGCCTTTTCAAATTTCTTATATTCAACATCAAAAAGTTTTATTAATAAACAGTAAGCAGCACTATGCCAAAAAAAAAAAAAAATCCAACCCTTAGAAAATCTTGACTTTTTGTATTTTTATTTTAGGATAAAAAGTACAAAATTGGTGTTACTATCAATGCTGAGAGTAACCAGTAAATTCAATTTAAATAAATTCTTAGGCTGAGGTGGGAAGATCACTTGAGGTCAAGACCAGCCTGGGCAACATAGTGAAATCCCATCTCTACAAAAAAAAAAAAAGTCTTCGGATGTCTAGTCTGCAGTGTAAGATTTTTTCTGCAAACTTAGATTTTAACAGAACATATATATTTCAAGTATAATTACCTATCCTTACCAGGGGCTTTTCAAAGATAATTTTCCACAATATTTCATAAAATAAACACCTGTTATTACTCTGCTTTGGCTGCTACAACAAAATCCCACAGACTGGGTGGCTTAAACAAGAGACATTTCTTTCTGCCAGTTCTACAGGCTGGGAAGTCCAAGACTGAGGTGCCAGCAAGGTAGGTAATTCTGAGGCCTCTTCTCTTGGATTGTAGGTGGCCACCATCTCACTGCGTCCTTACATGACCTCTTCTTAGTGCATTTTGGGGTGAGGTGGCAACAGCTAGCTCTCTAGGTCTCTTCTAATGAGGACAGTAATTCTATTGCCTCAGGGCCCCACCCTGCTGACTCCATTTAACCTTAATTATTTCCTTAGAGGCCTCATCTTTAAGTCACTCCAAGTAAATTCAAGAATAAGTTCAAGTACCTGAGTCAAAATGGATTAAATCTTCTATTTGAGTGTGTCTCAGAAGTTTTTTTTTTTTCTTTTTTTTGAGACAGAGTCTCACTGTGTTGCCCAGGCTAGAGTGCCATGGCGTCATCCTCGCTCACAGCAACCTCAGACTCCTGGGCTCAAGCAATCCTACTGCCTCAGCCTCCCGAGTAGCTGGGACTACAGGCATGCGCCACCATGCCCGGCTAATTTTTTTTATATATTTTTAGTTGTCCAATTAATTTCTTTCTATTTTTAGTAGAGACGGGGTCTCGCTCTTGCTCAGGCTGGTTTTGAACTCCTGAGCTCAAACAATCCGCCCGCCTCGGCCTCCCAGAGAGCTAGGATTACAGGCGTGAGCCACCGCGCCCAGCCGTCTCAGAAGTTTTTTAAGAGGGCCAGAGCAAGAGAGGCAGACGAGGGGTGAGGAGGGGGAAAGGAGGAGGAGGCAGGGGAAGAAGAAGCCACAGCTGCATAATGTCACAACCTTAGAAGAGCTTGATCGTCAAGGGGCAGGTCATGCTCTGTGGACACAAGAAGAGGGGAGGTAGGGAGAGGAAACATTAGAAAAGGACTAAGCCTGGTTTAGGGGACAGGACTGTTACTCTCAGCTTACGATATACACCTTGTTCAGATGATGACTGAGATTCAACCACATGCCTCTGATTCTCCTGATGCAGAAGACCTGGGAGCCACTGATAAGCAACTTTCAGAAGCCACGGACAGCTCACCATCCAGAGACGGGAGAATGAGTTGGAGCCAAGCAGCCAAGGCACTTCTTCAGACCAACGCAACCACAAAACAGCACCATTGCCCTTTAAGTGTCTGATGTTAAAAGGGGCCCTTTTGTTCAGACAATATGGGTCAGCTAGAGAAGCCTCAACTTGTCCATCTAACCTTTTATGCTAACTTAGCATAAATAATTAAAAATTACCAATCTCCCCAGAAATTAAATATACTGAAAGAATAATTCCTCATGACCAAATAAGGTATACCCCAAGAATACAATGATAGTTCCATTATTAGGAAATTATTAACTCATCACATAACTTTAACCTCCTCAGAGGGGAATCTGACCTGAAAAATCACCCTCTGTCACTATCTAGGCCCTTAGTATGCTTTGTTTTTCTTCATAATATTAACATTTATCATAACTGGACATTATTTTCTTTATCTGTTTCTTTATTACCTGTGTATCCTCATAAGAATGTTCTATGAAGGCAAAGACTTTGCTCTGTTTACTACTACATTCCAGGTGTCTAGAACCTGCCTAGCATGGAATAGGTGTGCTCGATAATCATAATATTTGTGGGTTAATCAGTAAATACATTTGAATGTCTGCCTCAGAAGAATCCACTAAAAATCACTAATTCAAAGAGTTCACAAAGTGGCAAAGTGTAAGATAAGCAAAATCGAAAGGTATCCCATTTATCACCAAAAAACATTAGAAAATTAAAGTATTAAAAAATCTTACTCACAATAGCAATAAATCCCACAGCACTCCTAGCAATAATTATGTAGTAATTATTAAGAAAACATATATAAGTAAAGAAGATTTGGCTAGAGAGAGATACCAACTTTGTGGTTAGGAAAACTAAGTAACCGTGAAGTTATTATATCAAGTTATTTATAGACTTAATGCAACTGTATCAAAATCACGAGATTTTATGTAAAAAGTTGAAAAAATAATTCTAAAGCTCTATGAAAAAAGAAGTATAAACAAAGAGAATTTTAAAATTGCAATGTTAAAAATGAAGGTTTATGTCTACTCAGAAAGTAAACTGCTTTTTGGTGAGCAATCTGATAAATACTAAAAGTCTTAAAACCTGGGATTTACTGCTAAATTTTATTCTAAGGAATATCTGAGGATATTCACAAAGTCACAAAAACTGTTTATAAAACTAAAATAACTACATAGCCAATATAAAGAACTGGTTTTATAAATTATGGTACATCAATGCAATTAAATACTATGGCGCTACTAAAATTGCAGGTGTAGAATGTGGGAGCTTGGTTAAAACAGGGATTAATAACCACATCCGTTTATCTAAGCTCCCTTCCATAAGCCCACTAAGCTGACAGTAAAGAGATTTAAGAAGGTATAAACAGAGAAGGACAAAATAAGCGGAAGAGAGATCTTGAGTGTGAGATTTCAACAAAGTTTGGAAGCTGGAAAGGAGAGAGCTAATTGTTTCCAAGCAGATGAAGTTTGAGACAACCAAAGAGAAGCAGGGTGGTTTCATGCGCAGAACCCCAGAGCACCACGCACCACACACAGGGAGGGTGAAGCACAGAACTGAAAACACAAGGGCTGATAGAAAGCACACATGGAGTGATTGGCCCCGTGTCCCCCCAGGACCCCTCCCACACCTAGACAGATGGCTACGTGCAAGTTCTCCCAGAATCAGGAAAGGAAGTTTGCAACACGCTGCCACTGAGTTATGGAACTTAGATACAAAGGTATGGCAGGGGCAGGGTGGGGCATGGTGCTGAAAACCAGGGGAAGAAGAGAAATTCTGCATATTCAAGAGTAGGAACCTGCGAGCCCAGGAGTTAGGGGCTGCAGAGAGCTATGATCTATGATCGTGCCACTGCATTCTAGCCTGGGCAACGGAGAAAAAAAAAAGAGTAGGAATCCTGATGCTCTCTGCTCTCAGAAGGCCAGAAACCAGGCCTGTCCTCCTCAAGCAAGAGATTAGAGAATTCCTTCCAGAAAAAGAAAATACTCCTAATACTAGACGTTCACATACTAAAATTAGAAAGGCGACGGGCACAAGCATAAAAGAACACCGGTTATGGAGAAAGCCTGCCTGAGTCCCAGTCCTGGCTCCATCACTTACGTACCAGCCTTAGGACTTAACCTCTGGAAACCTCTTAGTTTCCTCACCTGAAAATAGAGCTAAAAGTGCCTCCCTCCGGGTGCTTTTGTGAAGATTAAACGTTTTAATGCATGTAAATCCCAATCATTCACTCCCCCTTCCCCTGTTAAGAGGATTATCCATCCCCGCCCACTGCCAGGACTTGGTAAGTGGAGTGTATGTCCCTGCCCGCTGTCAGGCCTGGCCATGACCCGGAATGTGAGCACGCTGACGTGCACCTAGCTAAGCAAGAGGCTTTAAAAGCTGTGCATGTTCTGCCAGTGCTCTTCCTCTCTTCCCTCTGCCACAAGAAGTCCATGTCCCAAAGGCTGCTCCTTTGGCTTGCGTCATCGAATGAGAAACAGGTAGAACACAGGCATAGCAATAGACCTACAGCCACCTACAGCTGCCCACAGGTAAGCCAAGGGAGAAAAATCATCTGCTACAGAAAACCACTGAGGATGGAGGGTTGTTTTGTTACTGCACCAAGGTCAACAACTCAATAGACAAGTTCATATGATTAAGTTCTTGAACGCATAAATGTTAGGAATATCTGGAGAAGGGATCCTTAATAACATTCTCAACCCTAAGAGTATTCCACCCCAATTCAAGCAACTGAGAGTTGTGCTATTGGTGATAATGAAATGTCAGGGCTCCATGACCAGTTAATGAAGAAAGGGAACTGACACGAATTGATCACCTACAGCCCAGCCCTCGAGCACCTAGCAAAATGCCTGGCACATTATAAGTATAAAAAAACAAAGATAACCTCTCCCCCCAAAAAGAACTTGTTCACCTAAATTGCAAAAAACCCCCCCAAAATGATTTCTGTCCCACAGCATATACCAAAAAAGTTAAAAATATAAAACTGTCAAGCTACAGACAAGTGAAAAGAAAACAGTATTTAATATTTGTCATACATTTGAGCAAAACGTCTGATGAAATCAGAGTAACAGATCAATAGATTTAAATAGGTAAATAAATAAATCAAACTTCTATATGCCGAACACCTTTCTCCCTAGCAGAACCAAAATTAAACAGTGACGTACATGCCTTGAAGGAAGATTACAGTAAGTGATAGTTCATATTCTGACTATATAAAGCACTCACACAAGTTTTTTTTAAATATTAAGATTTCAATGATTAAACAGGCAAAAAATATGAAATAAATATCTACAAGGAGATACAAAATTAAACATTTCAAAATAATCCTCTAGTAACCAATGAAATATACAGTGAAACTTTTTTTGTAATAGTCAATTGGAAATTTATCTCTACATGATAAAACTCAGTGTCAGCAAGGTTATAGTAAAATGCATACTCTTATGTATTGTTGATGGGAATATTCAATTCTTTCGGAAAGTATAACAACTTGAGGTAAAAATAGTCTTAAGCTATTTACAGTCTTGACCTAATAATGTTATTGTGGGACTCTACCCTAAGAAATAACCCTAAATATGGTAAAAGCCTGTCTGGCTGGGCACAGGGGCTCGCACCTGTAATACCAGCACTTTAGGAGGCCGAGTGGGAGGATCACTTGAGGCTAGGAGTTTCAGATCAGCCTGAGCACCACAGCGGTACCTCCTCTCTACAAAAAATAGAAAACTTAGCAGGGTGTGGTGGAGCATGCCTGCAGTCCCAGCTACTTGGGAAGCTGAGGCAGGAGGATGGCTTGAGTCCAGGAGCTCAAGGTTGCAGTGAGATACGATGAAGCCACCGTACTCTGGCCCAGGCAATAGAACAAGACACTGTCTCAAAAAAAAAAAAAAAAAGGCCTAGCCTATGTCCAAAGATGGACATCACTCTGAAAGAGTATATTCAACAAATAGAAATAATTTGGGGGGAAAAGAGAAAAGACTAAACAATTCTAATATTTTTGAAAGTCTAAAAATACTTTCCTAAGCAAGTGGAGAGAAGTAGTACGGTATACTACTTCTGTTAAGAGCAGATTCAGCAATGATACTGGGTTAAATCTTATCTTTATTATTAATGCTTATAACCATGTGATCTTCAGGAGTTACCTAATCTCTGTACCTTGGTGTCTTTACTTATAAAATAGGGATAGATAATAGTGTCTACGTCACCAAGTTGCTGGTGAGTATTCAATGCGTTAATACACTCAACGAGTAAAACACTCAGAAACAGTGCCTGACACACAATAAGCATTCAAGTATCTGTCTGTCTTTGCCCACATTTAAAAAATATACTAGAAAGGAATTATTCTTTTTTGCTAGGAAACTAAATATATATATATGAGTTCACGAGAGCCATTAATCAAAATTTAATCAATTTTCCTTATTCATTAACACAAATTCAGAGAATATTTACATGCATAAAAATATTCTTGCAGTACCAAGAGCTATTTCCTAAATTCCAAGTCTGAAACTACTCCTAAAATAATTAAGAAAAATATAAAAACATTACCTTGTTGATATCATCTGCTGTAAATCCACTTTGATCTAAGAGTTCTCTGATTGCTTCTATACATTTATTAAAAAGTGGAGAACAAAGAAGTTCGAATCTTGCCCT